TGCCGCGTGTGCGGTTTTCGCGCTAGTTTTAGCATGGCAACGCGCGGGGGGCCCCTTTTTTAAAAAAACGCGGCAGCGCCCCTCCCCCCCGAGGCCGCGGACGGCCACGCCGTAGCGAAAGCGACGGGTGACGAAAACGAGCGCCACCGTGCGAAAAAACCAGCAGAGGTTTCCTCGGCGGAGAGCGGCCCCCGAGCCCGCGCCTCGCACGAAGCGCGGCCTTGTTGAAAAAAAAAAAAAAAACGCCCCGCCCCTCGCGGCGGTGTTCCGGCGCTCCGCAGCCCCTTTCTCCCTCTCGCCGCATCCCCTCACGTGCTTTTACTCGCCCGCAACGCCTTCTTGGCGGGTCCCGGTTGCCCCGCGCCATCGCGGGCGCGCTCGTCGCCCGCCGGAGCCCCACGCGCGGGGGCTCGCCCCACATGCCAAAACCCGGGCGCCAGCTCGCCTTCCGGCGCCCCCCAACCAGGTTCCTCGGTGTCCGTCCCGCCGCGCAATTCCGGCGGCGTTTGTGTCGGGCCGCCTTCTCCCGGCGCGGGTGTGGCTCGTGTCGCGTTGCGGCTGCGCGGGGCTCTCCCCGTGCGGCGCCCCAAAAGGCTTATAAAAGCGACCAAGGAGGTGCTGCTGCCCGCGCGTTTCGCCATATTTCCAAAACTGCAGCGGCGAAAAAAGAATATCAAAGACAAAAAAAAAAGTGGATTATGAGAGAGTCTCGCAGGAGAAGAAATAAGTAAAAAAAAATCGCGATAAATAAAAGGTTGGTGTTGTGGGGAAAAAGAATACGACGGGCGGGGATCGAACCCGCGATCTCTCGCGTGTGAGGCGAATGTCCTAACCACTAGACGACCATCGCGACGCGTCGGCGCCACTGGGGCCGAGCGCTGTTGGCGCGCGGATGGGCCCACATTTGCCACGGAACCAGAGCGCATTGCCTTTTTTTTTTCTGCTTTGACGAGGGGGTGGGGCAAAAAAAAAAAAAAAAAGAGGCGGTGCGAGCAAAGGGAGGTGTGCTCTCGCGTTTGTTTTTGGCGACACTGGGGGCCCCGGCGCGAGGGGAAAAAAAAAGAAAAGGGCGAAGCTGCGCTGTTTTTTTTTATGGTTTTTTAGTTTCCCCTTCGCCCCTCTTTTATTTCACTTCTCCCCCCTTTCTTTTTCTGTTCGCGCTCCCTCCTCCCCGCCAAGCCTCACGCTTGGAGGGCTGCGGGTTTCAAAGTTTGTATGGGGCACTCCGCAATCGCGACCGGCGCGGGCGCCGTTCTGCGGCACCCCATTTCCTTGCAAAGGAAGCGGTGCGTTTTCCAGTCATCGCGCTGGCATGCGACGGAGCAGTAAAACGTGACGCGGCAGCCGCTGCATTTCAGCATCTCCTTCACCTGCCCGGGGCACATGGGGTTGCCGCAGCGCAAATTGGCGTCCTTGCCGAGCGGCGGGTCCTTGCTGTGCGCGGCGAGGTGAAATTGCGGGGCGCTCACTAGCGCAAATATTTTAGCGATGTGGTCTTTTAAAGCGCGCAGCCCCTGCGACGCCTTCTCCGTCCCCAGGCGCGGGTAGATGCCGTCAGCCGTCGCTAGCGCCTTGTCGACCAGCGGGGGGTGCTCGCTCAGCCCCTTTACCCCCTTCATTTCCCGGCGGGCGATGCAGAGCGCCAGGGCGACGCTGTCAAGCTGCGGGGCGAGGCTCGCCGGCGAGGCGCGGGAGTCCATAAGGAGTGCCTTGGTGTGCCGGAAGGCGTCAAAGAGCGCAATCCGCACCATAAACAGGGCCCCGTTCTGAATGCGCCGCACGGGCTTCTCAAGAAAAGGGCTGCGACAATCAAACTGCGCAAACAGGCCCTCAGTCAACTTGCTTACAAAGGCGTCATCCTCCTTCACAGCCATCATGAGCAGGCAGTCAATCACCTTCGTCTTTTCCACGTCCCGGATAAACAAGGTGTACGTCGTGCGAAATTTAACGTAGCAGGGGCAACCCTCACAGCACACGTACGAGTTCGTCTGGCTGATGTTGGTGTCCTGCAGCATGTTTTGCACACCAAGCGAGGCTGCGTAGCAGAAGAAGACCATCTTCAGCGAGGCCATTAACGCATCAAAGGCGTCAAGCGAATCCGGCACCCGCCCCAACGCCTGCAACCGTGTCAAGGTGACACTCAAAGCCTCACTTCTCCGTTTAACATCCACGTTGGGCAACGGAGGATCCATCGGTTTCTCCATGCCTTGGATGAGTTTCTCGCTCATGCGCAGAATCCCCACCTTGCCAGCCGGTTCAAGGTTGGGATACTTGGCGACGATGCAAATGGTCTCGAAAACGTGATACGCCGCATCAAAGGCGTTGCTGAGGTCGCGATTCCGTCTGGGCCAACTCTTCTTAATGCTCCTATCCACCATCATCTTGTGCAGCTGAAAGGTTGCATCCTCCATGAGCGGGTCCTCGTGCAGCACCGTGAACGTCATAAAACACGTCGTAATGCGCATCGCTGCCGACCACCGCTCCGACTTGAGCAGAAACGCGTCAATGTACCCTACCAGCCAGCCGAGGTCCATCGTGCTGAACGGGTAGCGAAGTACGGTCGCGTTGTTCACGGTCCTCTCCAAGGTGGCCTCCGTCACCACGTGCTTCTCGTCGCTGCACGCGGCCTCCTCATCGCCCATGTTGCTCCTACACCGGCAGCGCCTCCTGTGCCCATTGAAAACGGTAAAAGAGAACGAGGAAAAAGGAAGGACTTCCGCAATAAATGCAGGATAAAAAGAAAAAGAAAAAAGAGTAACAAACAAAGAAAAAAAAATAAAACTAAACCACAACGGCTAATAAGGCTACTGGTACGCAAACGCCTGTTTCGTTGGGCCTCCCTTTATGCGTGTTGTCTGCCTCCTGCCACGTGGTTCCCGTACGCAGAGACTAAAGTACGCTGCGGTGCCACTGACGTTCATCCTCCAGACCACGCAGCAGGGCATCTAGCAGGTCCCGCTCACTCTCGCACAGTTTTTCCCGCACGTCACTCAGATCAAATCCTTTTTTCGCGGCGGCGTGAATGACTTTAAGGTAGCGGAGCTGATACAAGCGAAAGAGCTGCGCCGCAAGTCGATTCCCATCATTTACTGGGAGCATCGCGCAGAGCAAGAGGCCGGCCTCGTAGTAGTACGGTGACTTCGCGTAAAGGCTTACCGCAAGAGGGTCCGTCTTGAACTCGCGAAACACGGACGTTGTGTACCGAGGAGGAACATGCGGCACCAGGAAACCCTCGCGGTGAAGCGCCACGGCGGCCCACAAGGGAACGGTGGCGACGCTCCCCGCCCGCACCTCCGCAAGCGCCTCACCCTCGCTGCTGCGCGCATGGATGTCCCTGCCCAGGCTAAACGACGGCACCAAGAAGGTGACGGGAACAGTCTCCTCGTTGGTCAAAATGTCGGAGATGTCAAAGTAACTCCTGATCATCTGCCACCACGACCCCAGGCCACCTGGAGCTGAGATGCATACGGCCACGCCATGCAGGGTTTGTTTCGACCCACCCGAAAGAGAAAGAAAAAACAAAGAAACAAAAAAAACTATTAGAAGAGGAAACGCACATCCCGCATGCAATCTCCGCTGCTGCGGGCGGTGCCCCGGCACCCCACCGTACCAGCAACAAAAGGGTGGAGGGTGGGGTGTCGGGGGAAAAAATTCAGGGACAAAAACAAACAAAAAACAACGGCGGAAGCAAAAAAAATTTTTTTTTTGCTTACATATCCGCCAATATCGTAAGCTTTCTTGATACATCGGGTGCTATGGCATGTGCAGATAATAGCCAGAAAAAGGACACATAAAAAAAAGCACCAACACCAAATCCATGTGGTGTTTTTCTTCGGCTGTGTGTGTGTATGCAGGGGTGAATGGAGGAGGGCATTTCGCCTCTCTTTCTTTTTTTTTGTTCGTTGCGTGCGGAGGCAACGCTACGGATACACAATTTGAGGGTAGTCCTCGCTCGCCTTTAGTGCGCGCTGCTGCATCAGGCGTTCCTGGCGCTCCACCACGCGGCGGAGGATGCCCATGTTGGTCTGGTTGAGCGGCCGCTTAACAATACCGCGGACCTCACGCAAAAGGTCGTGGAGCTGCGCCTCTGACGCCGCCGCCGCCTCCTTCCGCAGCTTCTCATTCCGGTAGTCCAGCTTGTAGTCGTCCTGTGTGCCGTTCAGCTGAATATCCTTCAGCTCATCCACGTCCTTCTCCACATTGCGGCGTGCCTCGTGCTCCTCGAGGATGAGGGCCTCCAGGTCCTCCAGCTTCTGCGGACAGACGCTGCTCACGTCACTGTCCTTGTCACGCGCCTCCATTCTGCGCTTAAAGGCCATGTTGCCGAAGGTGTCGCAAAGACCAGAGGCGGCCGTGTTCTTCGCCAGGACGATGTGCGGACCCGGCTTCCAGCCGTAGGTCTGCCCCGTGTGCACGCAGCACGTAGGTCCGAAACGTTTTTTGGTGCAGTTCACGGGATGCACTGAGGTTGCCGAGCGCAGCTGCGCTGACTTGAGGCGCCAGCTCCCCGGGTGAGCCACCGCCCGCGGGATGCAAGGACAGCCGCCTGTCGCGTGGTAGTAGTTGTTCGTGCGGGGCTGCGCGAGCAGCTTGTAGTTAGGAAGCCCCAGCGGGTGCCCGTAGCAGTCACAGTGGTGGTACTTTTTATGCCGCCGCGAGGCCACCGGGTAGGAGCCTTGCATGGGTGCAACGCCGCCTTGCGACTTGGTGTTCGACGTCACGTCAGCCATACTATACTGCTTTCCCCGCCCACACGTCCCACGCTCCCCACCCCCCTTGCCTGTGCAACAGTGGTGTCACAAGCTCGCACTCGCGGCTCTCCGCCCCCTACACTCACACTGGCGCAGACCCTCCCTTCCTCTCTCTTTTTGTCCGTGAGTGGATGGGCGTGTTGATGTGAATAACGACACGCCGCGACAGACAGCAGGCAAACAGCGCAGACAATGGCTACCCACACCCCCCGTGTAGTAAAGGAAGGAGAGAGAAAGAGAGAGGGAGAGGAAGAATAAAGGGGCCCGGCCCAAACTGTGACAGGGAGGCGCAGAGACGCAGCAGATGTGAAGCATACGTACATTGGAGGAAAATGGGAGGAGGAGACGCTGTGGGCAATACAGCGTGAATGGCGTCGCTTTTTTACATGCGGAGCCTTGCAGGGGAGACGGTGGAAAACGCTCACTAGTACATAGGGTGGAGTCAAGAGTACGGCCGACCATGACGTTAATCTAGAGGGGTAAGAGGTTCCTCCTCCACTAACTTCACATACCGAACCAAAAAAAGTCAAGCAAACCCCAACAGGGCTATTGGCTCACACTCCAAAGACGATGTCCACACCGAAAGTGAAGTAAATAAAGAGAGAGATAGAGAGAGTTAGAAACAAAGTACCCACGGCTGAGATACTGAAATGCCTCGAGCAATAGATTTCAACAAAAGCGACAAGGTTCTGCTCTCAGCGTACAGGCGCATTGCAGTGAAGCGGGTCGCCTGCTTTTTTCCCCTGGTCTCGCAGGTACTTCAGTCTGTCCTGCTCCTCGAGGAGGTAGTACATGCGGATGAGGTTCACCTTCGACCCCACAGGCTGCCGCGTGACGTACCGCAGCTCCTCCATCACCTCCTCGTACTGTTCCCCCACTGTCTTTGCATCGTCATCGCCCGCGCGGTTTTCCGCCTCGCGGGCGGCCGCTGCGTTCAGCAACTGCGCGTGACGACTGCCGCGCAGGCCAAGTTGGTTTTCCAACTCCTCCAGCTGCGCCTCGGCGCTGTGGTGGTCCCGCATCTCGTCGCGGAGCACAGCCTTGAGAAACTCTTTGCGGTCCTGCATTTGCTCGTACTCCCGCTCCTCCCGCGTCTTTCGCCTGGGTTCCCCAGTGGCCGGAAACCTGCGCTGCGTCGCCGTGCCGCCGTAGTTACGGGCGTTGGGAAACACCAGGCGCCTCCCGGTTACCGGATCACGCACGGCGGAGCTCTCTACAGGAACCTCCTCCGCCGGATGCACCTTGTGCTCGCCGGGATCGTGCGCGCGGTACGTTTCTGTTGGCATCACCCTGTCACGTGTCATGGGGTTCGTGCTGCAGTACACCGCACCCGCCTGCTTTGGCTTTGTTTTGGGAATGCAGGAGCAGCCGCCTCCCTCCCTTGCGTGAAACCCTTGCAGTGTGCGCGGGACGGCGAGTTTCCTGTACTCCGGCAGCTCTGACGTGTGCCCGTAGCACTCACAGACATGATGCCCCTTCGACGGCGCCTCGCACGGCGCCCGCGGAGACTTCTCCTTGGCAGAGGCCATTCCTTAGCTCGTAGATGCCCTAACGGATTCTGCGTCCCCAGCAGCAGCGTGGAGGAAAGAGAAAAATAAAAAGGAACGGCAACACGGCCAAAAACGGAGAGGTGAAAGAACGACACCGCGTCTGGGCGAAACACACACACACACACACACACACAGAGCAAAGGGAGACCACATACGGAGTTAGAAACACCGCACACAGGTGCCCCACCCCTAAAAACCGCAAATGTCTGATGCGTGTACAAACACATTAGGAACAACCCTTTCAACACGTTGAGCAACACGAATGGGCTACTGCCGGCCAGGCAGCGTGGTGCCGGAACCCACGCAATTCCGGCGAAGTTCGTCAAACACTAAGACACCCTTCCTATCCATCGTCGCGCAAAGCGCCACGGCATCCGTCTGTCGCTTTAGTGTTAGCAGCACCTCCAGTAGTTTGTTTAGCATCACCCTGTTTCCCCGCACCCTGTGACGCCGCATCTCGCGCAGGAGGAAGTCCATCTCGTCGTAGCACTCCGCTGCACACATGGCCTCCAGCAGGATGGAGATGGTGTGTGGCGTCGGTGTCACGCCGCCCCCCCGCCGCCCCATCACACTCCTGTAGAAGCTAAAGGCAGAGAGCGGGCTGCGGGAGTGGCGGGCGACGTGCAGGGCGGCGTTGAGCAGATGCGGGGTCACCGCCACGCTGTCCAGCGTCGTGAGACACGCAACCGCATCCTCGTACTGTTGGTTGTGCGCCAACCCAAATAGCAGGCGGGCGTAGATGCCCGGCGAGACCTGCCGCTCGTGTCGCGTGCGGTAGTCCGTCACACGGGCCACGGCGAGGTGCATCACTCCGTTGCTGTCACACACCCCAACGTAGGCGGCGACAGTGTACTCGGTGGGCGTCAGGTGGAACCGGTCGAGGTCCATCATGAGCGAGTGGGCACGTGCCTCCACAATCGCGTCCCGCGTGCCGCGGCGTTCAAGAATGCCCATCACATGCTGCACCGCCCGCGCCGTCGGGTTGGTGCCGCTGTCAATCATGTAGCGGTACATCGTCCACAGGCTGTGCAGCAGGGAACCCGCGAGCAGCGACGCCGCCGCGACGCCGGGGCCGGCAAACTCCGCCGGCAAAAGGCTCGACGAGGAGGATGTGAGGCCGCGACGGTCGACAAACTCCTCGTCGGCCAGCGTGGGGGCCGCACTGCCCAGAGTCGCCACAGCGTAGAATACGTGAAGGATATCTTCGTACGTGTCAGAGCGCAGGCGAATGCGCTTCGCAATCACCTCGTCGTGAAGGGTCAAGAGCGCGTGGCACTTTTCAACGGGAGAGAGATGGGACTCCATGCAGGCTACAATGCGCAGCAGCAACTGCTGGTACTGCTGCCGTCGCGCGCTCCAAATCAACTCTCGCTGAATGGGGTTCAGATGAATCTGACGCCTGCGGGAGTCCAGACGCACCACCGCTGCAGGGTCATGGGGCGCTACAACTGCCGTTTCCTTCGCTTCCCGGCCCAACATCTGGCGTTGGTTCCGCGGTGCCGTTGCGGGTGGCGCCACCGCCGCCACCGTGGACAATGGGGCCAGCGCGACCGCCCCTCCAGCGAACATGATCGCCTCGCTTGTTGTGCGTGACACGGCGGCTCCCATACCTTTCATGCGGGCCCTCCGTCTTCTCCAGCCTCCACGCCGTGGCTGCCACGCATCAGCTGCGGCGGGCCCACGCACGCCACCAGCATCGACGGCAAGATGAATGCGGGCCACACGCGCACGCACACGCAACGGAACAACCAGCGGACTGCAAGGAAAATATCGCCACATGGCGCTGCAGGGCACTTTTCACTTCTTCGCTTTTCCCACAACAACACCTCGTGAGACCTGGCAATAAATAAAAACGCGGTACGGCAGGTGGCACAGCACAGAGACCACAACAGACGACGCACACACACTCATGAGGAAGAACCGCTTCACCACAGGCGTCAAGAGGGAGAAAGACGAACATTGCCAGCCCAGGCTTCACCATCACAGGAAGGGTGCGAACGGCAAGCACAACAACACACCACAGTGAAGGGGAAGAAGGGAGCGCACTTGCAAAGAAAAGCGATGATCCACCAACACCGGTCCCCGAGCATCCGGTCCACTGGAAGGAGGCAAACCAACACGCAAACACATACACCCAAGCAAAAAACGGCGCTCTCTAGTGGCCCTGTCAAGTCACTGCGTCTGCTTCACACCACGAGGTGCCTACAGCTCATGTCCTACTGTGTCGCCATGGCGCCAACACGAGCAAAGAGTGAGAGAAACAACAACAAAAAAGATAAGTAAATCAACTCTATCAAAGAAAAGGATGAAAGGCGGGGGCATGGGTTGGAAGAAACGAGGACCGAGAAGCACAGGGCGACGCCAAGAAAGTGGCCGAAACAGAGTCGGGCGGTGCAGTCAGAAATGCCACTAGCAGAAAAAGAAAAAACTGCCAGGCACACCAAATGTACAATAAATGAACATTGCTCCACGGTTCCACGGCAAGCGCGTGTCTCCGAAAAGTGAAGCCACGTTCGGTGCACCTGAGCTTTGCAGCAGCGTGAGCCCAAACCGCGTTCCACGAAGTGGCAAAAGGCAAGCAGGAGAGACAGGCACTAATCAACTAAGAGGCCAACGCAAAAAAAAACATACTCATCGTGAAAACCACAGAGAGGCAGGCAACTGGACGCCAATGCGCACTCCACAGCGCCTTTCCATCCGCCGTTTTCCTCGACGACGCCGTCATTTTTTCCTCGTCCTCGTCCTCCTCCTCCTCGTCGTCGTCGGAGCGGATGTCCGTGAGCGGGCCACCAAAAATCATTTGCACCGCCAGCCTCACAATCAGCGAAAACCNGTACACTTGCAGCCCCTGCAGCACCACCTGCAGGA